GGTCCAAATTACTAATTTATGTTCGATGACTCTTTGTAGCTTCTTGTGAGAAAAACCGTATACTGGAAAAAGTTCATCATTATGCTGAGCAGACGCCAACTGATGTTCTTGAGATTAGCATAAAAGTAAGTTGATATTCACTTCATGGTTGTACCAGAGTCACAAAACAACTTCCTTCTGTAAAATACTTTGCGTATAAAAATAATCCTTCCACGCACTTGAAGTGAAAAATGAATAATATTTTCATTGAAAGACGTATAATATTACTTTAAATAAAAGCGAATTGATACCAAATCATACATTGCATGGCAACTCATTTAGCGCGGAGACCAGCGAACGTGAGAAAACTCGAAAACAATTTCGTGATCCTTTTTCCGTTCTAAACGTTCGCTGTTAGCGGTGGCTTTCTTCTACAATAAACCTAACTTTAGCGATATAAAAACAGTTGCACTGAAATAAAATGTCAAGTTATAAAACAAAAACTATATTATGAACCCTTAAGTGAAATAAAAAACGATTTGATAAAAAAAAGCATCCTGATATTTTCTTCGACCTTTTTGGTTGATGAATATGAGCTTACCCTTATATAACTTAAGGCTCAACTTACCTTAACTCCCCTGATGGTGAAAAATATTTGCTCAAGTAGAATCCAGACAATCCTCTACTCAATTCCGAATGAAACTCAATCATAAGAAAGTATAGCTTCCCAGGCTGAAGTTCTTCGTCAAGCGAGATCAACATCATCTCACCCGGCAAGTGCGGACTAAAGCTTGCCACTTTTATCTCCCTTTTTAAAGCTAGAGAATTTTCTAAAATGGCCACTTTCACCGACGTAACTTGTATTTTCCTTCCAACATGAAGGGTGATATTATGAGAGGATTCAGTGCAATTCAAAAGTACATCAACTTTCCCGGAGAATTTAAATGTTGTCAGATTAGGATGTAAATGGACAAGATATTCGATCGGAGATAGATGTCGCGGAAGTCTCAGCGAGCGAGCTTCTTTCTTCTGTACATGCTCGGTTACAGAAGCATCTCTAACCAGTTCAAAATCATGGCCAAAATTCTTGTTCCGTTTTGTGTTGACAGTTTCGTGTGAAGAAGACGGGCGAGCGAAGACCGCGAGAAGTAAAACTGAAAGCAACAACAACCCAGTTGCGATGCCACAAATGGCGGCCTTGCCGCCAAACATCTTCCACAGTTTAAAAGTAACGTTTTGACCCCTAAATCGCTTCTTTCTGTTGCGTTTTTGATCAGGAAGGAGAGATATACTGACGTGGTCTTCTACGTCGTTACTTGAGGAGTCAGATCCCTCGAGATCTGATCCCATACTCTGGAATGGATATTTGCATTTTAGAGTGATGCTCAAGCAGCTGTATCCGGCATCGTTAACATGTGATCACGTGATTCGTGATATCGCGAGAAAAAACGATCAAAACGAAAGACAAAGAGTATGCTTGGATGAAAAGACTCCGGTGATATATAAGCTATACTATTCTCAGTATAATTCTCTTCAGAAATTATCAATTACTAGCAAAGATTCAAGTAAATGAAATAATCTATTATCGCGTTTTGGTTATTTTGTTCATCCCCGCGTTGGCTCGCCAACTAAAGTCAGGTGCGTGTTTCGCACTATGATTATCTCGTTTTACGACCATATCTTTTCCGTTGCTTTTCATTGTTTGAGGTAGACAGGGAAGACTTTCTTCGTGTTGTTCAATTCACCACCCACGCCAAACTGCGTAAGCGCGTACACAAAATAAGGGCCGCCAATTCGTTCTCTTATGACCGCAAAAACTGCGTGCGTAACTAAAATAGGATCCTTTAAAAAGAGGGAAATATCTGGTTCAGTGAGTTATTTTGACCTAATATGAGATAATTTTGGTAACTTAAGTGCTTTTCTGACTCTGAAAAGTGAATCAAAATTCCCCAAGTACTTGACAACAGCAAAGATAGAAAAGCATTTTTATTGACAGGAATTTGACAAATGAACCATGATAGTTTTGACAACATTAACAAAAGAGTAAAGACGAGCAGTTTTCGTACTAGATCGGATGCAACGTTGGTTGGATATTAAATTAATCGATTCCGGACTGAGGTCTCAACGGATTTTCTTTATAATTTTGTCCTTAAATAATCGATAAGTGAAACATTATACCGATTGAAATTCATAAATGATAAACTGAATTTATCTTTTATTGAAAAAGGATTTGAATTAGGAAATCTAAGTTTGGATGAGAAACCGCCGAAGTGCATGGGTTATATAGCCATGCACGTAAACCCGGAAAAAACTGTTGAAGACACAGCTTTACAATTCTTAGTCATGCAATGAGAGGTTATAACTTAGATGAAAGATGCCATTTTGAGTGTAGACTACAAAACAGTCGTTTTTTTTTTTTTTTTTCTCAAAATTGGTTTAGAGGAGCGTAAGAGTAGCGAGGCGAGAGAAAAAAACCGTGTCTCCTCCGTTTTCAGCTTTGTTGAACTGTTCGTGCGTACAGTGTTCTTGAATACGCAAAAATACGGACTGTTTTGCAGTCTCATTTGAGTGTTTTTTTTTCCTTTTTCTTCTTCTTCTTTTGTTATGTAAATAAACGAGCGGGAGCTAAGAAGGGGCAAATTTGTTGAATTGCGTAAAAAGTAACTTAACATGTATTTGTATGAAAATACTATCTATTATCGAAGTTCGGGCGTTAAATGAACTGCAATGTTGGATCGATCTCATATTGAAATGATCTTTTTTCAGACCATGTACACAAATATAGAAAGGGTCAGAGAAGACTTTCTTTGTCGACCGGCGCTATCTAATTCCCAGGAACTANTCTTTTACTGAAAAAGGATTTGAATTAGAAAATCTATAGTGCGGATGAGAAACCGCCGAGGTGGGTTATATAGCCATGCACGTAAACCAGGAAAAAACAGTTGAAGACACAGCTTTACAATTCTTAGTCATGCAATGAGAGGTTATACGTTAGTTGAAAGATACCATTTTGAGTGTAGACTGCAAAACAGTCGTTTTTTGTTTTTTTTTTCTCAAAATTGGTTTAGAGCTGTAAGAGTAGCGAGGCGAGAGAAAAAAACCTTGTCTCCTCCGTTTTCAGCTTTGTTGAACTGTTCGTGCGAACAGTGTACTTGAATACGCAAAAATACGGACTGTTTTGCAGTCTGTTTTGAGTGGTTTTTTTTTCCTTTTTCTTCTTCTTCTTTTGTTATGTAAATAAACGAGCGGGAGCTAAGAAGAGGCAAATTTGTTTAATTGCGTAAAAAGTAACTTTACATGTATTTGTGTCAAAATACTATCTATTATCGAAGTTGGGGCGATAAATGAACTGCAATGTTGGATCGATCTCATATTGAAATGATCTTTTTTCAGACCATGTACACAAATATAGAAAGGGTCAGAGAAGACTTTCTATGTCGACCGGCCCTATCTAATTCCCAGGAACTAAAGTCGTGTACAATTACAGCAATTTGTAGATAACAAGGAAGAACGGCGAACTAAAATCAGAGGATATAGTTACTTGTAGAATCAAGCGAGCATTTTATTTTTTATATTTTGTTCAGTTTTTGTAGTAAGTTAATTTTAGAACCAAGTGTTTCAAGTACCGACTCAACTGAATTCTTGACCAACGTACAGTAGCTTTGTTTTCTAAAACATGCCATTTTAACTGGTTCTTAAGCAAAGAGAACTCTTTATGCAAATCATTCCGTCACAAAACCCTTTTGACTTTGATGAGTGGTTTTGCAAAGATTTAGACACTCGAAACAGTAGACACGTTGAAGGAAGAATTGACTCACAAAGCAGGTCCGTATATTGATTCAGTATGTTCGTCGATTCTCTTTGGATTATTAAAGGGATTTTCTCTTCATCTCCAAAAGCACATGGCTGTCTGGTTTTCCAGTCAGTGATCCCGGGCAAATCACAATTTGTAAGTCGTAGAATAATACATTTACGGTCTTACTCCCGGCGCACTTATAATACGCATCACGGCAAAAGGATACTTCAAGTTTGAACGAAAATCGGAGGTCAGAGTGACGTACTAAAACTTTCAATAGAAATACGTCATAAAATACCGTATTCCCTCGATTAAACGCCAAGGCCTTTATTTAAGTTGTAGCATTTAATCAAGAGAAGTGTTTAATCGAAGGCGCGGCGTTAATTTCAAAATAATCTTATTCCTTACGGAAATTAAAACAACTACGGCAGTCGTTAATTAATATCATGTAAAACATAAAGAGTTTTAAGTTCCAAAGTCTCGCTTTTTTGTTGAGTTAGAATCGTTATAAATTGTCTGGCTGGTGTATACGTACGTACATTACAGAGTTTTTTCCTGTAATCCTCAAATACACGCCGAATTATTCTGATTGATGGGGCGTTTATTTGAGAGCGTCGTTTAATCAACGGTAAATTTGATCACATACGCGGTGCTTAATCGAGTAACCTGTAGTTGATTCAGAAAGCCAAAAATCAAGAGACAATTTTTGGAACTGTAAAATCAATACAGTTTCTCGGTTAGGTACGGCAAAAAATGAAGAATGTAGAGTAATGTCGAGAAAGGAATTGAAGCGTGTCGTTGAAAGTTTTCCGTACTTCATTTTTAATCAATAGATTCTTTGATATAGATTGAAATACCAATTTTTAAAATGAGACAGGCCAAATGATAAACCTTTTCCAATTTTTAGCGTTCAAGACCGTCTTTGTCACTTTCAAATGAAATCCAGTAAAATTAGCATGTGCGTCATCAAGAGAGGATAAAGGTCGGTACACACTAGGCGACAAGTTGCAGCAATTGCAACACGTCGCGGCGACCGATCACTCCATGTGTACTGGTCGGGCGACCAGTTGCAGCAACAAGGTGAGGCGACACGTCGCAGCGACAAATCGCTTCGTGTGTACTGGAGAATTTTTGTGAAAATCTTTGTTAAAAAGCATCCTGATATTTTCTTCGACCTTTTTGGTTGATGAATATGAGCTTACCCTTATATAACTTAAGGCTCAACTTACCTTAACTCCCCTGATGGTGAAAAATATTTGCTCAAGTAGAATCCAGACAATCCTCTACTCAATTCCGAATGAAACTCAATCATAAGAAAGTATAGCTTCCCAGGCTGAAGTTCTTCGTCAAGCGAGATCAACATCATCTCACCCGGCAAGTGCGGACTAAAGCTTGCCACTTTTATCTCCCTTTTTAAAGCTAGAGAATTTTCTAAAATGGCCACTTTCACCGACGTAACTTGTATTTTCCTTCCAACATGAAGGGTGATATTATGAGAGGATTCAGTGCAATTCAAAAGTACATCAACTTTCCCGGAGAATTTAAATGTTGTCAGATTAGGATGTAAATGGACAAGATATTCGATCGGAGATAGATGTCGCGGAAGTCTTAGCGAGCGAGCTTCTTTCTTCTGTACATGCTCGGTTACAGAAGCATCTCTAACCAGTTCAAAATCATGGCCATATTTCTTGTTCCGTTTTGTGTTGACAGTTTCGTGTGAAGAAGACGGGCGAGCGAAGACCGCGAGAAGTAAAACTGAAAGCAACAACAACCCAGTTGCGATGCCACAAATGGCGGCCTTGCCGCAAAACATCTTCCACAGTTTAAAAGTAACGTTTTGACCCGTAAATCGCTTCTTTCTGTTGCGTTTTTGATCAGGAAGGAGAGATATACTGACGTGGTCTTCTACGTCGTTACTTGAGGAGTCAGATCCCTCGAGATCTGATTCCATACTCTGGAATGGATATTTGCATTTTAGAGTGATGCTCAAGCAGCTGTATCCGGCATTGTTAACATGTGATCACGTGATTCGTGATATCGCGAGAAAAAACGATCAAAACGAAAGACAAAGAGTATTCTTGGATGAAAAAATTCCGGTGATATATAAGCTATACTATTCTCAGTATAATTCTTTTCAGTAATTATCAATTACTAGCAAAGATTCAAGTAAATGAAATAATCTATTATCGCGTTTTGGTTATTTTGTTCATCGTTGGCTCGCCAACTAAAGTCAGGTGCGTGTTTCGCACTATGATTATCTCGTTTTACGACCATATCTTTTCCCTTGCTTTTCATTGTTTGAGGTAGACAGGGAAGACTTTCTTCGTGTTGTTCAATTCACCACCCACGCCAAACTGCGTAAGCGCGTACACAAAATAAGGGCCGCCAATTCGTTCTCTAATGACCGCAACAACTGCGTGCGTAACTAATATAAGATCCTTTAAAAAGAGGGAAATATCTGGTTCAGTGAGTTATTTTGACCTAATATGAGATAATTTTGGTAACTTAAGTGCTTTTCAGACTCTGAAAAGTGAATAGAAATTCCCCAAGTACTTGACAACAGCAAAGACAGAAAAGCATTTTTGTTGACAGAATTTGACAAATTAACCATGATAGTTTTGACAACATTAACAAAAGAGTAAAGACGAGCAGTTTTCGTACTAGATCGGATGCAACTTTGGTTGGATATTAAATTAATCGATTCCGGACTGAGGTCTCAACGGATTTTCTTTATAATTTTGTCCTTAAATAATCGATAAGTGAAACATCATGCGGATTGAAATTCATAAATGATAACCTGAATTTATCTTTTACTGAAAAAGGATTTGAATTAGAAAATCTATAGTGCGGATGAGAAACCGCCGAGGTGGGTTATATAGCCATGCACGTAAACCAGGAAAAAACAGTTGAAGACACAGCTTTACAATTCTTAGTCATGCAATGAGAGGTTATACGTTAGTTGAAAGATACCATTTTGAGTGTAGACTGCAAAACAGTCGTTTTTTGTTTTTTTTTTCTCAAAATTGGTTTAGAGCTGTAAGAGTAGCGAGGCGAGAGAAAAAAACCTTGTCTCCTCCGTTTTCAGCTTTGTTGAACTGTTCGTGCGAACAGTGTACTTGAATACGCAAAAATACGGACTGTTTTGCAGTCTGTTTTGAGTGGTTTTTTTTTCCTTTTTCTTCTTCTTCTTTTGTTATGTAAATAAACGAGCGGGAGCTAAGAAGAGGCAAATTTGTTTAATTGCGTAAAAAGTAACTTTACATGTATTTGTGTCAAAATACTATCTATTATCGAAGTTGGGGCGATAAATGAACTGCAATGTTGGATCGATCTCATATTGAAATGATCTTTTTTCAGACCATGTACACAAATATAGAAAGGGTCAGAGAAGACTTTCTATGTCGACCGGCCCTATCTAATTCCCAGGAACTAAAGTCGTGTACAATTACAGCAATTTGTAGATAACAAGGAAGAACGGCGAACTAAAATCAGAGGATATAGTTACTTGTAGAATCAAGCGAGCATTTTATTTTTTATATTTTGTTCAGTTTTTGTAGTAAGTTAATTTTAGAACCAAGTGTTTCAAGTACCGACTCAACTGAATTCTTGACCAACGTACAGTAGCTTTGTTTTCTAAAACATGCCATTTTAACTGGTTCTTAAGCAAAGAGAACTCTTTATGCAAATCATTCCGTCACAAAACCCTTTTGACTTTGATGAGTGGTTTTGCAAAGATTTAGACACTCGAAACAGTAGACACGTTGAAGGAAGAATTGACTCACAAAGCAGGTCCGTATATTGATTCAGTATGTTCGTCGATTCTCTTTGGATTATTAAAGGGATTTTCTCTTCATCTCCAAAAGCACATGGCTGTCTGGTTTTCCAGTCAGTGATCCCGGGCAAATCACAATTTGTAAGTCGTAGAATAATACATTTACGGTCTTACTCCCGGCGCACTTATAATACGCATCACGGCAAAAGGATACTTCAAGTTTGAACGAAAATCGGAGGTCAGAGTGACGTACTAAAACTTTCAATAGAAATACGTCATAAAATACCGTATTCCCTCGATTAAACGCCAAGGCCTTTATTTAAGTTGTAGCATTTAATCAAGAGAAGTGTTTAATCGAAGGCGCGGCGTTAATTTCAAAATAATCTTATTCCTTACGGAAATTAAAACAACTACGGCAGTCGTTAATTAATATCATGTAAAACATAAAGAGTTTTAAGTTCCAAAGTCTCGCTTTTTTGTTGAGTTAGAATCGTTATAAATTGTCTGGCTGGTGTATACGTACGTACATTACAGAGTTTTTTCCTGTAATCCTCAAATACACGCCGAATTATTCTGATTGATGGGGCGTTTATTTGAGAGCGTCGTTTAATCAACGGTAAATTTGATCACATACGCGGTGCTTAATCGAGTAACCTGTAGTTGATTCAGAAAGCCAAAAATCAAGAGACAATTTTTGGAACTGTAAAATCAATACAGTTTCTCGGTTAGGTACGGCAAAAAATGAAGAATGTAGAGTAATGTCGAGAAAGGAATTGAAGCGTGTCGTTGAAAGTTTTCCGTACTTCATTTTTAATCAATAGATTCTTTGATATAGATTGAAATACCAATTTTTAAAATGAGACAGGCCAAATGATAAACCTTTTCCAATTTTTAGCGTTCAAGACCGTCTTTGTCACTTTCAAATGAAATCCAGTAAAATTAGCATGTGCGTCATCAAGAGAGGATAAAGGTCGGTACACACTAGGCGACAAGTTGCAGCAATTGCAACACGTCGCGGCGACCGATCACTCCATGTGTACTGGTCGGGCGACCAGTTGCAGCAACAAGGTGAGGCGACACGTCGCAGCGACAAATCGCTTCGTGTGTACTGGAGAATTTTTGTGAAAATCTTTGTCTCCGCAACAGAATTTTGTCGCTGCAGCAAGTCGCAAAAAATCAAATCAGACTGAATCTGTGCGACTTGTTGTGGCGACAAATTCTGTTGCAGCGACAAAGATTTTCACAAAAATTCTCCAGTACACACGAAGCGATTTGTCGCTGCAATATGTCGCCGCGACATGTTGCTGCAACTTGTCGCCTAGTGTGTACCGACCTTAAAGGGGACAGAGGAGGTCTTAAAAGAAATATCTTGAGACGAATTACCTATAGAGTGTTTTCACTCACGTGGCCAGCATCTATGCAAGTTTACTGGAACAAAAGAAAGCGTTTGCATAAGAAAAGAGTTCAACTCCCAGAGGACTGGTTTGGCACCCCAACATGTCCGCAGTTTTATTGTTTTGGGACACCAATATGGCCGCCGTGACGTCATGTGAAAATACTCTATATATAGAATAGGGTGTGTATGGGGGATGCCTTCTTTGTCTCCTTTATCCTCTCTTGGCGTCATATATTACAGATCCAACCATTCAACTTTGGGGACTGAGTAAATGGGTAATTTCAGAAAATAGACTATATCCTGCAAACAGACCTGAAAGAAAGTAATTCTGTCATCGAGGTTATTGTACGTCGCCAAAAAAATAAGAAACAAATAAATCAAAATAAAGTTAAGTTAGGATGTCGACCCTCAATGCGATGAGAAAAAAACGCTAACTGATGTATCTTCCCATGGAAACAAAGAAATTGAATACTAAATAATCGGTCAAAGTCTCTACTAAGTGTTTATAGCTAATTATGAAATGAAATGCCAACGTACTAGCATTACACTTGCAACTCGAAGAGAGCAACAATTTTATTGTATAGATTTATTTATTTAGGTACTTGAAATTAATCAAACATTTACAGGGAAAAATGAGTCACGGTTTTTCTCTTTCGTTTTTATTGTGTGCGGTATTTTAACATTGACACATGCATGGCATAAAGTACAAAAGACTACTGACACGAAAAAATATCTTGAAGACTGCTACAATGATTATTATGCAGAAGCCAAGTTGCTTCACATAAAAAGCGTTAATAAACCTGATCCATTATCAATATCCAGCGTCAGCGTGAAACTGGCCTGAAGGCAAAAAAGTCACTCTAGTTCAGTGAGCTAAAATTTTCGCCATGTCCTACTTTACTTACCATTTTTACCTCAGCCTTTTGTTCTTGGCCTTGTATGAGACGAACCATTCTTTGGCGAAGCAAGCAAACAACACCCAAGTAACTACAGTCCCCACAAAACAGTGCACCAACGTCTACAACAGTTTCTACGCGGGTCCAAACAAGAAGATTGAGAATATCCTACAGGAAATGAAAAAGCAACTTGGCGAACTTCAAGAAGATATGAAAATTTTGAAAAATAACAAAACTTCTTCCAAAGGTCCACGGAATAATATTTCTAGAATTCATTTAACCAGTGCGCACACATTCAGTAAAGAACTCAATTGCAATATTAATTATTTAACGAATACTTCCTCTTTTTTGCTCAACAGCCAAGAAAAACTGTGCTGAGTTGTACAAATCGGGCGAGAAAATCAGCGGCGTTTATACAATCGATCCTGATGGTGCAGGCGCCTTTGATGTGTTTTGTGACCAAAAAACGGCCGGTGGGGGGTGGACAGTGTTCCAAAAGAGACTTGACGGCTCGGTTGATTTCTACCGCGGTTGGGCTGACTACAAACGAGGTTTTGGTAACCTAAACGGTGAGTTTTGGCTTGGGTTGGACAAGATTCACCGCTTGACCAAAACAAAAAGCAAGCTACGAGTTGATCTGGAGGACACTACGGGTAAAACTGCCTACGCTGAATACGACATGTTTGCAGTTACGAGCGTGAAGGCTAATTATCAGCTTAGCCTGGGAACATACTCAGGTACAGTAAATAGAAATGCACTTGCACGGCTTTACATGCTTTTCGAACTCCCCTTTATTACTTCCCTATCTAGTGTTCAGTTCCTTATATGGCAAATATCAATAAAAGAATCTAAAACGGTACTTGATTTTCTTGCTCATGCATTAAGTA